CCCTCACACATCTAGCAGCTGCTGCTAGCTGTCAGCTGAGCGTGGGGTGCCTCAGTTTCCCCACGTGGAGCCTCTCATCCTCCTGTGGGCTACATCGGGCTTCTTCACAACATGGTGGTCTCATCGTTTCAAAAGTGTGGTCTTTGGGGACGCCTGGCTGGCTCGGTTGGTTAAGCGACAGACTTTGGCTCAGGTCATGTAATCGTGTTCATGAGCTCAGTTCATGTCATGAATTCGAGCCCCCGGGAGTCAGGCTCTCTGTTGTCAGTGCAGAACCCGCTTCAGATCCACTGTCTCCCTCTCTCTCTCTGCCCCTCCCCTTGAGCGCTCTCTCTCAAAAACGAATAAACATTTAAAAAGAAGAAGAAGAAGGAGAAGGAAAAGGAAAGAAGAAGTGTGGTCTTAGGAATTTCAGCCCCACCCCACCCCCCTGCCGTCCCCAGACCCACCAAATCAGAATCTGCATTTTAACAAGATCCTCAGGAGATTCTTATGCACCACAGAGGCTGAAAAGCACTGCTTTGAGATATAAATCCAGTCCCTGCTCAAAAACCTCTAAAAGGTTCTCATTTCAGTCACTGAAAAAGCCAAAATATACAGCCCCTTTAATTCCATCTCCTCTTGCTGGCACTCTCCCCTCCACCATGACCTCCGTGCCATGCCTTAACGCATGCCAAGCGTTCTACAGCCCCAGTGCTTTCCAATATTGTGGATACCCTCACCTCCCACTTGCTGTTCCCTCTGCCCAGATCTCTGCCTGGCTGCCTTCCTCGCCTTCCATAGGTCTTTACTCCAGTCACTTCATCAGGAAGACTCTCCGTCTACCCCTATCCACAGGCCATGCCCCAACCCCCTTCCTGCTCTTTTTTTCTACATAGCACCAATCATCATCTAATACAGTATATCTTTAACTTACTTAGTTTATTGTCCATTTTTCCCTTCTCAGAATGTAAACTGTATAAAGAAAAGAGTTTTTTTTAACTATCGTAAAATTATACATAACATTTACAATATTGTGTATATTAAGTATATTCACATTGTTGTGCAACCATCACCACCATCCATCTCCAGAAATTTCTCGTCTTCCCAGACTGACACTCTTGTACCCACTAAACAACAACTCCCCATCCCTCCTCTGCCCAGCTCCTGACAACCACCATTCTACTTCCCGTCCCTATGAACTTGACTGTTCTAGGTACCTCCTATAAGTGGAATCCATTTTGTAACACGTGTCAGAATTTCCTGTGTCCCATTATTCAGCCCTAAAACGAAGGAAATTCCGACACGTGCAACAAAATGGATGAGCCTTTGTTCCTGAGAGGTGTGCTTCCTCCTTTTAGAAGTAGATTCCCAAGAGCCTTCACTTCCAAAAGAGACCATTTGCATCAGAAGTAAAAATCTGATGTTGGGTCCGCCTTCTTCATTAATCCGTTGTCTTCATAGAGAGGTAAATTTCTTTGTACCTCCTTCATTCGTACTTCCTGCCTCACCAGATGGCTTTGCGTAAATGGAAACCGACCAAGAACGGCATCCAAGGAAGGCACTTCTGTTGAACCTTCTGTCTGTGAAGGTCTATTGCTGAAATGTACCCTTTAGTTGTAGCCAGCTTGCCTCTGATCACATCCAACATTAAAGTCAGGGAGGTTGCATATGAAGCAACGTGGCTCCCACATCACGCTGACTTCACTCCCCGCTTACCAGTTGCCCTTAAGGATGCATTCTTTGTGGCACCACAGCGTGTCGTTGATTGTGGCCCGCTGGTTCTTCCTCCGCCTTTATCCGTATCTTTTAAGCCCTTGAACTTTCTGGAAAGTTTCTTGTGCTGCCTCATGGTTACCTTTCATGATCTCCTCCTCTCCTTCACTATTGGAAAAAAGAGGAAAGGAGGGTAGTAGGAAGTGTTAGTGTAAATACCTTGCTCGGGCTTTGGAGCGGGTAGTCCTGGATTCAGAGCTTGGCTCCATGCACTGTTCCTTCATGTGTGACGTGACTCATGTCACTTAACTCCCCCAGGGCCTCCGGGTCCACATTAGCAAATAAAAACACCTACTTGGAAGTGATTGATGTTGTAAGGATTAATAAGCATGTATATAAAGCACCCAGCACAAAGCAGGGACTTAGGAAATAGCAGCTGTCATAATCGGGATCGTTTGCAGAATTTCCCAAATAGGAATCATCTTCCGCCCCAGACTCTTTCCAGGGAGTCATATGTATCTGTCCACTGAACCCTCACTGAGATTGAGCTCCATGGTCCGGTCCCTGGTTGACCTCATCACTGTCACCTTTCCCAGCATCTATGACTCTGCCTCAGGTACCCAGTAGGTGCAAAGTAAATCGCTGTTGGTGGATTGAACGGAATCCTCTTAATTTTTATACTTAAGATTCTGTACATAAACTGTTCTTCTCAGGGCTTTTTGTATGTCTTATGTTTTCTCATGTTTAGGAAAGGCAAAACTGGGATGCTTCGGTGGCTCAGTCAGTTAAGGGTCCAACTCGATCTCAGCTCAGGCCTTGATCTCAGGGTCATGGGTTCGTGGCTCAATAGCTCCACGCCAAGGCGAAGCCTACTTAAAAGAAAGAAAGAGAGTGAGAGAGAAGAAAAAGGAAGGAAGGAAGGAGAAAGAAGAAGAAAGAAGAAAAAAAGAAAGAAAGAAAGAAAGAAAGAAAGAAGGAAGGAAGGAAGGAAGGAAGAAAGGAAGAAAGAAAGAAAGAAAGAAAGAGTCAAAACTAAGAGCATCTGTACAGAATTCTAGAAGGTGGAGTGCAAAGGAGTGCAGCCAGCCCTGGGACGTTTGGGGGAGGAAAGTGTACGTGTTAAGAGGCAGCAGTCAGAGTCTGACCAGGAGGGTAAGTTCAGGGCGTCTATCAGAAATGACATCCCATTGCTTTTGCTGTATTCTGTTTGTTAGAAGTCACTGGGTCCAGCCCACGCACAGGGAGAGGGGCTTACACAAAGGTGTAAATAACAGGTGGCAAGGATCGTCTGGAGCCATCTCACCAGCTGCCCACCATACTCCCATTTTGGAAATCAAGAAACTGAAGCTCAGAGAGATTTAGTAACTTCCTTAAGGGTCACCTAGTAATTTGTTGGTGCAGGGTTCCAACTGAGAGCAGCTTTTGACTGAGCACATGAACAAAGTCACCTTAAATAATATATTGAGTAGTAAGCACTCTGTGACGCGTCCAAGCTCTTTCAGGCTTCACCCTCACCCTGCAAAGTTGGTTAATGTCACCCCCCATCAGCAACACTAGAGCACTTGAGTGGATGGGAGGGATGTAACCATTTGCCCAAGGCCATGGAGTGGCTGAGCTATCCATTCCTAAAGAAAGAGTGGAGAATAGTGGAGAAGGGTTTGGCCTGGCGTGGGGAGGGTGGGTGCTGTAGGCGACTCACCTCTGCTTTGTTGCAAGACCAGGTTCATCAGGCCTCTTCTTGGCCTGTGTAAAAAAAAGACCCCTCACCACCACTGGCCCCTTTCAACACTGCTCCCAGGCTCCCAGGCCCACCACTGGTGACTTCATTTCACTTGCCCTGAATGGAAACCCGCAGGTGTCAGGCATTAGACAGGAGTCACGCTCTTGCCCTGTGGTCCAGCCGCACCGGCTCTTGTCTCAGAGCTTTGACCTGGGCTCTTTTCTCTGCCTAGAATGTGTCCCATCTCTTGTCCCTCTTCCCCTGTAAACACCTACCCCTGCTTCGGCTCCCACCTCAAATCTTACTTCCTGTGGAGGCTACGCCTGCTGGAAGACTAGATCAAGCCCAAGTCACATGCTTTTGCCCGGCGATTTCCTTTGTTTCATGTATCGCAGTCATTAACTGTGAACCGTGGCATGGTGGAGGGTAGGCTCTGGGAAGGGACACCATTTTGCTCACCATTACATCTCCAGTGTGCCTGGCACAGTACCTGGCAAAGGGTAGGCAGTTAATGAGTGCTGCTATTATTTATTGAATGAATATTGAATAATGCCCCCTGTTTTCCCCAGGATACCTCTGTCCTGCAGTTAACTGAACCTGGTGCCTCTTCAAATCCCTACATGAAAATGCTAACTGGGGCGAGAACTAAACGGGCTCCGTCTCCCTGACTGCCCGCATAAACACTTAAAAGGGACTTCTGGAGACCTGTAGTTCTGAGTGTTCCCACCCTAGGTAATGACCTTAGTGGCGGGACTTTCAGGCTCTAAAGGACGGATAGAACAATAGCAGGAGGAGGTAGGAGATGTATTTTAGGGTAGGAGAGGCCTTGTTTCGGAACCTTTTAAATTACAGGGCCTACTCTGGAAGTGTAGGAAAGGGTTTTAATAAGAGAGGAGCATTCGTTTCATTATTTTAAAATAATGTTTACAAAGAGTTTGTAAGACCATGTATTAACACTCATTTATTTTTGAGACAGACAGACAGAGCACAAGTGTGGGAGGGGCAGAGAGTGAGGGAGACACAGAATCCGAAGCAGGCTCCAGGCCCCGAGCTGTCAGCACAGAGCCCGATGCGGGGCTCGAACTCACGAACTGTGAGATCATGACCTGAGCCAAAGTTGAACCCTTAACTAAGCCACCCACGTGCCCTACAATAGCTTACCTTTATTGAGTTACTTACTACCTGTCACAACAAGCCTATAAAGTAGATACTTTTATCTCCATTTTGCAGGTGAGGAAGCTGGCACATCCGGGGAGGGGGGGGGTAGGTAATTTTCTGAAGGTAACAGCCAGTAAAGGACAGAGCTCAGATTCGAACCTCATCATTTAGGCTCTAGAGCCCATACTCTTAACCACTTAACCACTATATTAGGCAGAGAGAAACCCATCAACTTGTTCATGGTCTTTGGATGGTAGTTTATTTTCTCTTCTATTCTCCAGGTTTTTCTATACGGATTTACTACAGGAGTTGAATGATAACTTCTTTATTAGGGAAGAGGTGGGGTGGTAAAATTTGAAGGACGGATGTATGTTTTAGGACAGAAGAATTCACCCCATTTCCCTTTTCACTTTTCTAAATTTTCCAGAAGAGCCAATGACCACCCCAATCCTGCAGGCCACTGAAGCCCTGTCCCCCAAAGCCGAGGCCAGCACAGCACTCATAGCAGGTAACAAACGCCCTGAGCCAAATCCGAGAGACCTCTTGAATTCCACGGCTATCTCACTCCACAGATGGGGAACCCAGTGGCTGAACTAGGATTTTCCCTATGCAGGAAAGCACCACAGATTGGAGACCAAATCCAGTAATGGGCTCGTTTGGGCACATAGGTTATCTTACACACGCACACACGCAAGGCTGTAAAAGACTCTCAGAGGCTCTGTGCCAGAGACACTGCCGGTAAATGTGGGAAGCGGCCACAAACAGATGTAAGCGCGTACGGGCGCTACACTCCACTATGCGGCGAGAGATGAGGATGTGTGTGGTTTGTCAAGTGGGTGAGGAAGAGGATGGGAGGGATCAGAGAAATCCCTGCAGGAGGCTGTGGGTTTTAAAATGCCTTCCTCTTGGGATAAGGTATTTCCTGTTTCCCTCCTTCCTGTTTCTATCCTAATCATCAGGAACCGGTTGAGAGGGAGTTGTTTTGTCAGAAATCAAAAGCCTTGTGTCCTTAGCTTAAGTACCAAGGTACTCCGGGGGTCATGCACCATGGAAGTTGGACTTGGGGAATATGGATTTGCAAGTGGCCACCGGTTAATTAGAACCCTGGTTCTTAGAAATAGTGAGGGTGCTTATAAATAGTGAGGGAATCGCCGAATTCAGGGGGCCCCATGAATTGCTGAGACATCCTCAGTCCTGAAACATGTCTGCATTTTCCCTCTCAAGTTGTTATCACCGTGGTCTTCCTCACCCTGCTCTCGGTCGTGATCTTGATCTTCTTTTACCTGTACAAGAACAAAGGCAGCTACGTCACCTACGAACCTGCAGAAGGCGAGCCCAGCGCCATCCTCCAAATGGAGAGTGACTCAGCCAAGGGCAGGGAGAAGGAGGAATATTTCATCTAATGACTCCCGGGCCCCAAGGAGCTTATCCAGGCTCCGGTGTTAACACACTATTTAATTTATTAGGCGCAAGTTTTATCTGAAACCAGTGAGAAGCACTGATCGATATAGGCAAACCTGAGCTCTTTCTAGGACACAGGCCCAAATGAATGCCAGCGTCACTGACACCAGGGACACAGAGGAAACTGCTCATGCTGTCGTTAGCCAGGCCTTTCTAACATGGCAGGTTTCTGTGGCTGCCCAAGAAGGTGGTGCTGTACCAGACAACATGAGTATGTGCCCAATCATCTTCAGTGTTTTCAAGGTCGAAGGGAAGGACAGTTAAGAGTCGCTGGCTGCTCCCCTATCCCTTACCTGGTCAACTAGTTGACAGCCTGAGCAGAGATAGTGTCTAGTCATACTAGTTCTTGCCAGGTGCTGGATACCACAGTAAAAGGCCAGACCAGGAGGGACAGACTATGGAGACCTCACCTCCTGATGAATGTGCTCCATCTCCTGAGCCTTCTTCCTTTCCATATTCCCCAACAACCTTACACTGATGCTACTGTTTTTTTCACAATTAAAAATGTTTATTGATAATAGAAATCCGATTCTCGTGTGCAAGAAATAACTACCTTTATATTTTGACTTATCCAGACTTAAATTTTTTTAATGTTTATTTATTTTTGAGAGAGAGAGAGAGAGAGAGAGAGAGAGGGGGTGGGCAGAAGGGGAGACGGGGATCCACAAGAAGGCTACTTAATTAAACCCATGAACTGCGAGATTGTGACCTGAGCTGAAGTCTGACGCTTAACCCAGCCACCCAGGTACCCCCAGGCTTTTTTTTTTTTTTTTTTGCTTATTTAACTCTTGCATATGTTCTCTCCCAAGCAGTAAGAACCCCAGGGAAGTTTCAGAAGTTCCAGAACCATCTCACGAGATTGAAACAAAAATGGTGGTGGGAAGCTTGTCCCAGAGGCGTGTCATTAGAAACATCCCTGGGGTGAGGAGTTGGTTTACCTTCCATCCTGGCAAGGGCCAGAATTTCTCAGACCCATTCTATGTATACAGAGAGGGCACCAGGAACTACCTCCCTACCACTTTACCCACCAATGTCCTTTGAATCAAGCCCAGAGAAGCTTCTTGGATCTTAGTCCCAAAAATTAGAGGTGTTTAAAAGATACAGTGTTTCAGTAGGAATCCTGGCTCCCCAGGTACTGTTTAGTTGGAATTAAGCTAAATCTCCTTTGAAGTCTATAAATTGTATTGCTTCCATCATCCAAACTCTGTTCCTCCCACGGTTAAGACCCAGGAGTTGAGGAATCAGTCTTGATAATCTGTTTCAGTATTTCTCCACACAGAACTTTGGTGAAATTGAAAGGTCACCCCGAACTTAACAAAAACTGTTACACTAAAACATTTTTCTCAGGGGCGCCTGGGTGCTCAGGCATTAAGCATCTGCCTTTGGCTCAGGTCATGATCTCATAGTTCATGAGTTCGAGTTCTACATCAGGTGAGCTCAAGCCCGTTTTGAAAGCGAGCAAGAAGGGGAGGAACAGAGAGAGAGGGAGTGAGGAGAGAGAATCCCAAGCGGGCTTCTCGCTGTCAGCGAGGCTCCTGACTTGGGGCTCAGTCTCCAGAACCATGAGAATCATGACCTGAGCCAAAACCAAGAGTGGGATGCTTAACTGACTAAGCCACCCAGGCGCCCCCTTAAGTTTATGTTCTGAATACCTCTGGCATAACAGGCTTCTAAAAATCTGAAAGAGCTTAGGAAATAAAGAAAAGGAAAACATCTAGAACGGGACTCATGAAAATGGTCAAATCTTGGCCTTACACTCCTGCATTTATTTCAAAGGCTTCGTTAAAAAACAAAACAAAACCCAACAGAATGACAACAGTACCTATTTGAATTTTAGGTGGGATATAAGATATATAGAGAAGAAACCTAAAAACAAGCTGAGTAAAGAATCCTTGAAGTGAGGTGTAATGCAACTTCATCACTTTATTCAAATCTTCAAAATAGTCTTTATTCTACATTTTTAGTATAAAAAATCCACAAGTTAAGTGCACCACAGTGTAGAGAGAGACATACAACGCTGAACTTCCATAACAGTCAATGGTACAGTCAAACATCACATGTACAGAACACAAAATTTAGATGAACTGAAATTATAAGATAAAATAAAATCCAATTTCAGAAAACAAAAATCAAAATATTAAGGATCCCTGAAATATTCTTAACCCTAATGAGATTTCACTGGACTCAAGTCATTTTGTAGTGAGGGATTCCTAATATGACCCCATTAACCCAGCTTAGGAGTTCTTGGGAGCCGTGCATGACTGCCTACATCAGATACTCTGACGATAAATGGTGACCAATTTTTGGATGGGAAATCGTCCCCTAATTTGGCTCTAACGTCATCAGGCTTTTGAAATGCATCCCCCTCCCTGCCCCAACATTTTAAACAAACTTGTTTACAGTACAGTTTGCATTGATACCCTTTGTTCAAATACAGCTCTCAGGTTTTCTGGCACCGAAGCAAATTTGGGTTTAGTTCACGGATGAAGAGACAGCCTACGAGGAAGGTCCGAGAGGCACCCTCCACTTTTGCCTGAGGAGACTCAAAAAACAGAAGTGATGGGGTCCGTGCTTGGGGCACAGAAGGGGTTTCAGAGGATCCTTGTGAAAGACTAGTTAAAAGATGGCAAGTGGGGAGAAGTGCAAGGAGAGAAGGAAGTTAGTCTGACTGGCTTTCTGTCCTGCACCATTGATTCAATGGAGATTGGCGGGAAGGAACTGGAAAACTAGGGTTGAGGGTGGGACGTGGGGCAAAGGATGGAAAGGGAAAGGCAGACAACTAATGCGTTTCATTTATAACAAGTAATAGAAATCAAAGACTTAAAGGAGATTAAAGACCAATCAGAATAATTTGGCAACTTTAATTCTTAGGAAGATCAAAGTTCCCTCCAAACCTAATTTGATGTTTTATTACTAAGAGCAAAGACCAGTATGGTACAGTATTACTCCAGAGGAATTCAAGGAAGATCCTTAGGGCTGCTTCACCCACATTCATTTTATGAATGGATGCCTCCCCTACCTCAAAATGCTTTAAGGAGGTACTGCTACCATTACATGGTTCCTTATTAAGTTTGAAAAGTGCCTGAAAGTTTGGGCACCAGAAAGACACCCCAACAACATGTGTCTAAACTGCAACTTCAGGTTAATATGACTAAAGCAGTTACATTGTGAGAAGTGCTGAAGGTATGTGATGTCTTTCTCGGCACAGAGGTGGCCTTGGTTCTTCACCAGATGGTGTAGCCACCATCTGAGCCACCCATGAAGAAGTTTCCCTTCCGCTGAGTTACGAGGACATTGGCTCCCTGCATGACTGCAAGCTGAGCAGCATTGGGAGGGCATCCAGGGGGTGGAGGCTGAAAGGAAAACACAAAGGTTGACTGGGCATAGGGCAGCTGAGACGAGGGAAGTGGGCACAGGTGAAAACGGGATCCGTTAAGAAGACGGCAGTATGCTGACCAATCACATCTTAGAGCTAGTTCTGCCACCAATTTGGATTGTAAAGCCGGTCTGGATTTTCTGTGAACCCAAAGATGCAAACAGGAAAGAGCCTACCACTCATCCAAAGGCATTCCCACCTCATTTCTAGTATATGGTTTTGAGTGGCTGGCCCTAGCAAGAGCCATTTGGGCTCTAATTCTTACGCAAGGGGGAGAGAAGCAGGAAACATAACTAAAATCTCTAGTATCTTTCCAAATGCTACTTAATAGGGATTATGGCAAATTCGAAGTAAATGCTTATGGAATGAATAAGGAGTATTACTAGCCCGGTACCAGAATGGAGCAGAAAGAGCAGCAGACAGCACTCCTAAGACAGGAAAACAAAGGAATCTGGTTAACTGAGACCCCAGGGAATGTGCCCGATGCTACTGACTTGCCACAGTTCTCCAACCCCTCACACCTGACTCCTGGATATCAGTGCTCACACCAATACCACAGCTACTGCCCAGGCGTGGCGAAAGGATGAATACGTAATCTTTTCAGAAAGTTAAAAGACACAAGAGCTGAGTTTTTCTGATAAGGTCATACTCACAGGAATGTTGCCAGCAGCAGCCCCAGCTCCAAATCTGGCACCTGCATCGTACCCTCCTTCCACCAGCACTGCTGAACCAGGTGGATAGATGGGACCAACTGGATAATAAGCCATAGGGATTGTGGAACCTAAAGGTCCAACAGCCACAGATTGGGCCATGGGAAGATACAGGGAGGCTCCAGGAAACGCAGCCGACATGGTGGGGACTGTGGCAGCCCCTGGGTGCACAAAGCTCGGACGATAGAGCTACAAGAGGCAGAAGAGAAGGCCACATGTTACTTCATGACATTCCAATTTTAGAGCTCTTAATTCTCCTTAGGTAGATTACACTCTAAGTTACACAGGCTGCCTTTCCATTGCCACTCAATATTCTCCTGGATCGCTTCCTGCTATAGCTAATGTTAGATTCAAGGAACACACACTCATCTTCTTAACCTCAGCCTGTGCCAAAAGATATAATCAGATAATGCATTCTCAACCCCAAAAGAAACTGCTGAAGTGTACAGGGTTTCAGTTATTCATGGCAGCACTCTCTCCTGTGTGTGGAGAGTAAATAAATATGTGAAGTCAGGCTTAGCTCAGGGCTGAAAATGTGATCCGAAGAGTATTCAGTTCAAGTCGAGTAAACTGGGAGCACCTCTGAGTAGGCAGGCGGGGCATCAGTATAGGGTGGAGCCTGAGGAAGATGCAAGGTCTGAGGGTACACTGGATTCCCAGGAGGCTGCACAGGGTAGGTTGGCTGTGTCGGATATTGACCTGGAAGACAAGGGGTGGGGGGAAATGCATATTGCCTATCACACAGAACCACCAAAATGGGGCAGAGCATACTGGGTAACTAACCTAGCGGCAACAAGCAGGAGATGTGGGAACAGACTGCTCTGGAGGGCCTGATTTCTGGAACCAGGAAAATAAGCATTCTCTTTGCACCCTCTTCCCGGCCTATACCCGAAGATGCTGGATTCTCAATCGACAGGAAGGCGCTCTTCCCGTTAGCATACTGGTGTAAGGGAAAGTCTAGCTGGGCCCAAGTTTCTTTCACAATGCAGGGCAGGTCTGGGCACCCGTGCCTGCCAGTGTACCAACGGTCTATCCTGCCTCTGCTCTAGGTGGTCTTCATAGGCCTGGTTGTAACTGGCCAAGACCTCGTTGAGTCACAGTGGCTACGATTATTTACCCCATCGATTTCCTACTCAAGGTCGACTTCCAAATAAAGTGAGTGGTGGAAGTGAACCTTCAGACCCGAGAGAAGGTAAATGTCCTGAGGAACAACAAAGAATCGTATTCTGATAAACACTAGTGCAATCACAGGAGCCGGGAGAAGTCCAGGCCTCCATCGGAGGGAAAGGCGAAAGAGACCTTTCTGGCCCCCTGGCCCGCCCACCAGCGCCGGCACCTCACTAGTTAAGCCCGGGCGCCAGCCTCTGGTTCCGGAGCGCGGCG